TGATATTGTAAGGAGAAATTCTGTCTTGGTCACTTGTGGGAGTGAAAGGGTTATTAGTGGAAGGACATTTATTTCATAAAATCAACCCTCTCAAAGAAAATCCCTGATGCCCACTACTTGCGTGAAACCACTGTTTGGGTTAGACCTTTAGTAAGACATACTCACAAAAGGACGGATGGAGGGACAGATATCAATAATTTAAGGCTACAAGCATTATGATGTTGGAAGGAAGTACTTTGATTAATTACTTGCTTATAAACCTTTGGAGACATCACAATTCTAAGATTTGTGTCGAGAACAGAATAAAACTAAAGTACAAGAAATTTAAAAGAGAGAGGTCTAGACTTTTCTTATTGCTGTAAAACTGAGAATAGAATACATTTACTTACCGGTATTTGTTGTTGTTGTTGTTTTTTTTTTTGCCCAAATGCTGACTGCTGCTTTCTGTCATCTAGGTTGCCTGGGTAACAAAGTCTGGCCAATCTGAACTGGCAGAACCAATTGCAATCAGACCAACCAGTGAGACAGGTAACCTTGGATTAAGTATAGTGATGTAAATGATTATTTCCAATTGGTCAGCCATGTAACCTTTGCACTGTCAGTTTCTACTTACAGCGGTTATGTTCTATTTTTAAAGCAGCCTTTTTTTTGTTTTCTTTAAATAGTTATGTATCCAGCTTATGCTAAGTGGATCAAGTCACACAGAGATCTGCCACTGAAACTTAATCAATGGAATAATGTTGTGGTTTGTAGCCAAACTTTTCTAGAAGTTATTACTTCCTCTTCTCTGGCTACTATTTTAGTTGTGTTCTGCTAGTTTTGTTGTTGTTATTGTTGCTGTTGTTTATCTTCCCTAATGATTTTTCTTGTAGAGATGGGAGTTCAAACATCCTCAGCCTTTCCTTAGAACTCGCGAGTTTCTCTGGCAAGAGGGACACTCTGCCTTTGCTACATACGATGAAGCTGTTGAAGAAGTAAGAAAAACATTTATATCCACACCATTTTTTAAACAAAATTATTCACACCTACTATGTAGCTGTTAGTCCAAAGTGTCAGCCAACTCCTTGCCCCAACCTCCCCTCGGGTTCTCAGGCCGCCCTCTAGGGGATTAGGGTGAGGTCATAATGACACTTCGTTCCGACGTTTTAAGTTCCAACATAGCGTGGCTATTATGTTTTATTTATCTCATTATCTTTTAATGAATGTTTTTTTTGTGTGTGTAATGGCATGCGATGTTATCTGGAAAGTGACTATGAAAGTTAAGATAACTGTACCTTAGTTGTGAAAAGCGATCCTTGGGTAGAAGGTTGCGACTGTTTGTGGTATTTTTTAAAAAGATTTTTCTGATAATTGGTATTGATCTCACCTGTGTAATTTTGAATTACTGTTAAATTATCTTCGATCTGTAGGTTAGTTCCAATTAGAGTCAGCTCATCCCCTGTAAGAGAACCGTTGTGCGATGTTGCATTTTAAATTAATCCCTTCGTGCTGTTGATTTTCATTCTTTTGCCCAGGTTTACACCATTTTAGATCTTTACCGTCAAGTTTACACCGATCTCCTGGCCATTCCAGTCATCAAAGGAAAGAAAACCGAGAAGGAAAAATTCGCAGGAGGTGACTTTACTACAACAGTAGAAATTTACATATCAGCCAGTGGACGAGGAATCCAGGTTTGTTTTGTGTTGATTCCAAGATTGCCGTTTTAAGCAATGAAAAATCTACATTATGTTTTTATCATTTCGTCGTGTTGTCGTCTGAAAGTTTTTTGACTCTAACAGTCAGTAACATCACGGCTAAAACTGACCAATCGGTCGAAACGAACCCGATTTTCCTCTTTAGATAAAATAACCGACAACTCTTCTTGTAAACTCTGATGATGACTTTTTCTCAACTTACCCAAACTTCAATTTCTGTTAACAACAAATGTCTATCTCAGGTAATTTTAAGGTGCAAGAGTACTCTGCGCGACAAAGTTAACTATTTTTGTTAAATGGTGTTTCATTTTGACCTAAATTGATTTAGGATATCTGAGGTTAAATGGAATTATGGCCAGCAGTCTCAGGCCCTAATTATGAGCGGGACTTTCTAGGGCGCGTTTATTTTTGCGGTGGTCTGTTTGGCGTCAAGTCACCTCTCTTCGATTGTGTTGCGTGCCTCATGCACCACTGACAGATTTGAAAATGTAGGTAATTAACGATGATTTTACTCTTGCTGTATCTCAGGGTGCGACGTCCCATCATTTAGGACAGAACTTCTCCAAAATGTTCGACATCGTATTTGAGGATCCAGATCCAGCAAAACAGGTTAGTACTCATCCTTGTTTGCTATAAATAGGATCATAGTCCATCGCAAAGATTTCCCTTCTTTCACTCCTCTTTCCCCCCCGCTCCCGTTCGAAAAATTTGGGAAAGAAACGAGCATTATGATGAGGATCGAGGAGTTGTTATTTTACTTGTCTAATTGCCATTTTTGTTATCGTAATGCCAGTTTAGAATTGCCTTGGCAGCCAACATGGCAGTAAACACCTATTGGGAACATAAAAGGGAAATAAATAAAAATGAAAATAAAACACAAATTGAGTTAAAGGTTATAATTGGAAGTAGACGGTTTAATGTGTAGTGTCCATTTACTTTTTAAAGGACAAAAGATTCGTGTATCAGAATTCCTGGGGTCTCACTACTCGAACAGTTGGTGTCATGACAATGGTGCATGGCGACAATCAAGGACTTGTACTGCCTCCTCGTGTTGCGTCAATTCAGGTAACTTGGCAATCTCTCTAGCACTATAGTGATTGCATTTGGAGTGATTGTCGTAAAACCAAACCCAAATAACCACAACAGCCAATCAGATGTAAGGAAAATATCGCGAGGAACCAATGAGAATTCGAAGAAAGACAAGCGAACTGCCACAGGCGCGGGTAAACGTCCGTGACCAAGTCACGCTAGGCTTTAGTTTTGAATCTGATTGGTTGAGGATTGGAAAACTACTCCCTACCAATTTTTTTTGAAACGATTCTTCTAGTAAACTTTTGGATGGACTTTTGAAGCTATGAACAAAAGCTATGGAAAGATGTTAATTTAAATCTCATTTATTACGAACGAGTAACAAAAATCCGAGTCCTCAGATCCAGATATCTCGCATGGCGCTCTGTCGCAGGCATGTTACACTCGACCTCATTTTTGCAGGCCGTGATTGTTCCCTGTGGTTTAACTGTCAACCTTCCCGAAGACGAGAAAACCAAGCTTCTAGACAAGTGTAAACAATTAGAGCAGAGGCTCAAAGCCGCTGGAGTGAGAGCCAAAGGCGACTACAGGGATAATTATTCTCCAGGATGGAAATTTAATCATTGGGAATTGAAGGTATGTGAAACCACAGTTAGTCCAAGCTCGAGCAATAAGCCTGCGTTGATTTCGAAATGTGTCAATCATTTTTCTTTTTCAGGGTGTGCCTCTTCGTATCGAAGTTGGACCTCGTGATCTGAAGTCCGAACAGGCTGTCTTGGTACGGAGAGATACTGGAGAAAAGGTGAGGGGATTTTAGGGCTTTTCTCTCTTACCAAGGTGATATGTTGTAGTTTCCATATCGTGAAGTATAATTTTGCTCGCAGAGAAATGCTTCGGTTAATAGCATCAAAAAATATAAACAATTGTACGTTGAACAACAGTAGCATGAAAAATCTCTTTTGCAGCTGCAGTATCCTCAATCCACAACGCATAAAAGAAAAAAAACTCTTTTTTTTTTTCATTTGTAACATCTAGCGTGTTATCAAGCAAGCTGATATTGAGAAAGAAATTCCAGAAACTTTGGAGCGTGTTCATTCCGACATGTACCAGAGGTAACTGCTATATGTTAATATCATACTGGCTTCAATTTTTAATTTCCATAGGAAAATGAGAGAGAGCTAGACCTTGCTGTCTCTAGAACGTGCGTAGTTGTAATCTTTCAGAAAAATCGCGAGCGTTCGAAGATCTGCTTCGATCATTTAATGAAGAGGCCACCTTAAATATGATTAGCCGCAAAAGATGGGAAGAGTGACAAAACTACTCTTGATATAGTAGGGTGGGAGAAGAATCTAACTATCCTCCCCCCCATTCCCCCACCCGTAAGCGCCGGTTTTGGCAGGGTCATTTTGGAGAAGTTAACGTGCTGGCACTAACTTTTATTTCAATCGCATTTTATAACAGAGCTAAAGAAGATCTGGATGCAAATCTTGCTGTAGCTCACACCTGGACTGAGTTCAATGCTATGCTGGATAAACAAAAGGTTTGTTTTCGCTCGAGATAAACCCGATACCCAAAAAATATCAGCCGGGGCTTATGAGATCTCAAAGGACTGACCACAAGCAAAGTGCCTGAACCGCGGGAAAACGCGGCTGACCAAGTCACACGTGATTTTAGTTTTGTATACGATTGGTTTAAAGCTTGGTACGCCTTTTAGAATTATCGAGCTAAGTAAAGCTTTAAAATTGCTTTGGACGCTCGAGTAAACACTAAAACATTGTAGCAATGAACTTGCAATGAAGACTCCAGCTAAATTTTTCAAGTTGGTTATTTTGTAATTCGTGAAAATGATACCCTCAATCCATTGCCACCTTCTTTTACTTAATGTTTTCTTTTTCTTCCGTTTTCCCCGCATATACCTAAACAGGTTTGTAAGTTTTTATGACATAACTGTTCCGTTGAGTTAAAATTACATATATTGCGATCTTTTCAGATCATCCAAGCGCCGTTCTGTGGCGACGGTTCTTGCGAGGGCAGAATTAAGAAGGACAGTGCAAGGTATGAAGCCAGAGGCATGACAAGAGAATAATACGTATTGTCGTAAACAACCTGATGCAATGGAAGTGTAATGAATCTGCGTAATTCACTCAGCGCGAGGTCAAGATGGCCAGCTATTAATATATTGCTGTACAATTTCCCAGAGAGAAAGAGGAAAAAAAAAAAGTCCTTTTTGCCTTTTGAAGGTTTCGACACGCCTCGAAGTTTTTAAGGCCGCTACAATGAGATGCCATTTAGGACTCAGAACTCTTTTCGGTACCGTAGCTAATGAGTGCGCTGGATTCGTTTCAGTAGGCATTCGGAACACAAAATTTGCTTTTATTTGCCTCACCGCTTAGCGCGCGATCTGGTGAACAGCAAACTCTGTAAGGAACTTCCTTCCTAACACTCATTTTTCATGTACACTAGAATGACACCCACCCTTTTAACATAAATGTTTTACTGCTTTGGCTTTTACTTGTTCAATCTTCCACACATCTCTATATTTATTATTTCAGAGACCAAGATTTAGAGCCTGGTGCACCATCAATGGGGGCAAAGAGTTTGTGCATTCCGTTCGACCAGCCCATGGAGATCACTGCTGACACAAAATGCGTATACCCTGGGTGCCCACAGGCGCCAAAATGTTACACACTTTTCGGCAGGAGTTATTAAGACCTCGCTCAGTCTTCCAAAGAATTGTCTTTTTCTCCAAGAAACCTCAAATTCTAATGATAAATTTTTCCCCGATGTCTTCGAGTCCTCTTCAGGTGTGGAGTCAAATGAGTGGTGCAGTTTTCATGCACAGGTTTCTGGGATGCTTGAAGCTCCTAGTTTTACCAGAATCGAAACCAGTCTTAGCAATTTTCATCAGTTTCATAGCGAGTTTATCTAAGTCCAGGGAAAGTAAGTAACTTTTGGCACCGTGCATCAAACAACGTATCTAAGGCGGGAAATTAGAATCTTCATCAAAGGAAAAGTAAATGAACGAGATAATAAACGAGATATGAGAAACATGCAACCAAGGGAAGCTGTGTAAGCTCGTGAGAAGAGATACTTGGTTTGTCTGCATCCTGATTTACGCTAGTTGTTAGATAGCTCTAGCTGGTTATTTCAAGCATCTAGTAAATGTACTGTCTCTCCATACGGAGATCTTAACCCTTGGAGCCTAGATTGTGACAGAGTTAATAACTGCGAAATGACACTGAAGCCATAGGCGATAATAAAGATTTCAGAGTTCAAACAATTTTATAAACTTCAAGCTTCTAGTTAATTAACTTGTCTCTCGTACGCGCCAATGTTTGTTAACGTTTGCAAAACATTCAGTTACCGGCAAACGTGGGTGAAAGTGTGTGGTGCATTTATTACGGGTGTTTTCAGGATTTCAAGTATTCCCTGATGATGGTAACCGTTTTTGATGGGGGGCACAAATGTGGATAAACTGTGCGTTACCACAAACTTGTGTTCGGACTTCTCTCGAGGTAGGGGAGGGGAAGTTGCGCTCGAACTACTTCAAGTAAGCTTTCAGGGATATGAGGCGTTGTGACCTTTGCATTTACTTGTTATTCAACAAACATTTTCTGAACTAAACCAATGTGAATATATGGAAGTCATATATATTTCACTACTGCTCAAGTAGTGTTCATTACTGCGAAGATCGCTTTCATATTCACGTCTTTATCCGAAGTTCAAATATATGACTTTCACATATTCACATTCGTTTATTCACCACTTCACGGGTTTATTTGGTAACAAAATAATGACCAGCTCCCAGTTGCAATTGGCTTGTTAGCTCAGATGGTAGAGCACTGCACCGGTATCGTAGAAGCCATGGGTTCAAATTCCGTACAGGCCTGAATTTTTTTCAGGCCTTATTTTCACGACTGCTCAAGTAGTGTTTATTATTGCGAAGATCGCTTTCATATTCACAGTTTTTGTTCTATTGAAACATCGCCAGAAATTGGAAGTAGAGATTCGGCAGATATGCATAATGTTTAGTTACAAAAAGGTATACCAACTATCTGCTGGTTAGAAAGCGCGCGGACTCAGGATCCACAACGGCGATATGGCACTGATGACGAAGCTACGGATAGTTTTACTATGGCGGTGATTTTGAACTAAGAAGTGATCTGGAAGGTTTTATTGTCAGCTTTCTCGGACAGCTCTGGGTGAGTCGTTATTGTTCTTGTCTAAATCAGTGCATTTTTTCTTTCTTAAGCTTTAAGTGAATATACAGCAGAAAATGACGCATTATTTCAAAGGCCGAGTTCAGTGGTTTAACGGTGTCTTGTGGAGCTTCAACTTGCCATCAAAAACACAAACATATCGGGTCTCGCCATTTTAAAAGTCCCATTCGGCCTCTTTGCATTTTATCCGAAAATATCACAAAAGATACGCTTTGAATTTAAGTCTTCCTAAAGGCCATACCATGCTCGGTATACACCGAAGGACTGCAACCTCTAAACTAAACAACATTTACCACCAGAGTTAAGTTACGTCGTTCTAGTTGGTTTTATTGGAACTGATCGATGGTAAAATATCGATTTCGGCATTACATTGTAGAAACATAAGAAAAAATTTTGAGAGGACAGTGCTCTATTGATATAACTAAGATTTCTGAAACGTTATTCTACAGTAAACTCGCTCGTAGCCGTTTCTTGTTGTTGTCACGCAACGAGTTCTCACGCACGACTTCGGACGCCAGAGAAGCAAAAAAACAAAAACAAAAAACAAAAAAGGCCTGGTTCCGTTGGCCAATGCCCGGCACACAGAAAAATTATACGAGGAAGTTGTTTGTTCTTGTGCTTTGCATCTCGATTTCGTTATCCAGTTCAGATCGCATTTTAAGCAACAAACGTCCGTACGGAACCGTGACGACAATCGAGCGAAAGGCGATTGCGTGACTTATTTGCTGATGGCATATAGTAACGTAGAAAGTTAGGATTATTTACGTCACTTATAAATTCAGAAGAAAATATATTTGTTTGGGGCTGAAACTTTTGGAAGCTCGTTGATTTCCAAGGTTTACTATGAGAAAGGGGAATTGGTCGTACGATTTTAGTTCTAAAAAAATGAAATGTACCTGTCCCTCCTTCACGTCTCTGTAAGAATGTAATGATCTCCTTTAGTTGTAGTCACTTTTCTTTGGCCTCCCTTCAGTACTCTGTTATAGACGACGGACCCTCCCCCTCCGTTCCCTATGAAAGCTATGTGATTTTCCCCCTCCCCTCCCCCCCCCAAAAAAAAAATCCCTACCGGCGATAACTGGCCCCTAATCCGTGGATTCTCACCCACTAATTATCCGCTAATTCATGATTGATGCTTTCTAATTGTTCTAACGCCGATAAAATTTTGAATTCTCCCCGATTAGATATGACATTGCAATGGTTCATTAAAATGCACAGTTGTGTTGATAAACTAAACAGTTAAGTACAAGATATTGGTTGATGTAAAACTATCTTCTCCGAACAAAGATGCGATGGGACGTATCGCTTAAAGTAAGGAGAGATCATGTTTTTATTTTAAAAATTATCGGTGGATTAAGTTCAGTTACAGTAAAATTAAGACACTTGTTTAATCCAATTACCTGCTACACTAACGCAAGGGAGGTCGATAGCTGTCCTTCTGTCCCTGTGCGAAGCTGATTTCAAATAATGTCTTTGGGAAAGGTAAGAGAATAATTTTTTCATCTATAGAATTCTTTATTGACGAAAAAAAAAAACCGACAAATTCGATTTGAGCTTTTGAAAGGTAAAGAGATGCGAGTTTCATTTTCTTTCTTCTATCTACTCCAATCCTTGATTCAAAAGAAAAAGATAAGGTTATAAAGGAAAAGCGTATTCACATCTGAGGAAAATATTCTTGCTGAAGTTTTCAAACCACTTAATCAAGATGGAAAACGTATTCTAAATTTTTTTTATGTTTTCTTTGTCTTATATTTTATCTGATAGATTAGTGCTCCGTTTATGAAAACGTGGACGGCAAATTTTACCTTACAACAAATTTGCTTTTCTCCCAATCCGGCTATAACAAAAACTCGAGATCCAATCGAGTTCTTTTCATGGGGAATTCAATTAGTTTTAAAAATGGCTGAGAGTCTGACAAAAATTTCAAATCGTCCAATTTCCTGATTTGGTATTCTTCGTTGTGTATTTCTCATCCGGTTTTCGAAGATTCCACTCTCTGTTTCTCACGGTTATGAACATTTTCCCTTGTTTCTTGATTTCATAGGCCATTATGCTCGAGGGATGGCATTTTTAGATAATATCTTGCTAGCATCCTCGGAATTTTATGCGGCGCTATCTCTAACTGTAGCTTTTAAGGTTGGTGGTGTTACTTTGAGACCTCTACAACACGAAGTTTGTCGTGTCCTAAGAGCTGTATGAAGATGTTCTTCTAAACTGACTGTAAAGTTGTTTTTTTTTTCTTCTTTATTTTGTTTTGTTTTGTTTTTGTCATTTTTATTGTTGTTGTTGTTTTTTTTTTTTCTGCTAGGCTTTCGGTATCCTCGGATTTCTCAGTCTATGGATATGTCAAACTTCTTCAGGTACTTTGATATGTATGTAAAAATAATAAATTAATGACTTACAAAACCATAACGATTAAATGGATCATTCTTGGCAGGTGCATACTAATTAATACCTTTGATTGCACTCGGATGATCTTAACTTTTGGTAGCTTCGGTGAAGGGAAAGCGTTTTGAGCCGCTTGTTATGTACATTTAATCAGAGAAACCTCCGATGAAACTTGATAGATTAAAGTCAGAATTCCTCTCAAGCCTTTTACTGAATTCCCAATAGTACCAACTTTCGTACTTTGCGGGTTTTTCCGTTTATAACAAAAGAAAACTGGTATTTGCTTGTAGCGGTAATTCTGATGCAAATATGTTTTTTTTTTGCCACAACAATTTTGTTCACGCAAGGTTTGAGGTTTAACAGTTTTCTTGGAAATTTTAAACTCTCAGTAGATTCACTTTGTTGTTCAAGCAATATGAGTTAGCATTGAGGAATATTTCAGCCAGTTGGAAAAATAAGAGCACAGCGTGCTATTTTTCTTATGTTTTTTTTCATTTGTCGGTGTTTTTCTTTCTGTTTATATGTTGTTGTTTTGTTTTGTTTTTTGTTTTTTGTTTTTTGTTTTGGCTTGTTTGTTTGTTGTAATTTTCATTATTCATTTTTGTACAATAATGCTAACAGAAGAAGCTTAAGAAATGCAAAAATTCTTATTATCACATAAATACCATCATGCGGCAAAGAAGTATATAATTTTTTTTGTGAGTCATGTTACGCCGATTTTTAAAATGCAATTTGATCTTTTCAGTCGTCCCACAGCAAACCGTCTTTTCAAAGCAAAGTGACAATAGCATCATTGACATCAATAATGTCGTCCAAGTCGATGCGCCGACTGCAGAACTTCAACACCTCACAGTTTGCATGTGGCTTGAATTTCAAGACGACGGGCGCACAGTTGGGTTGATTTCTTGCTTATTCGGTGATTTGTATGAAATGGAAATCAGATACGCCAACGAAGGAAGATGGGTTCGTCTTCGAATTGAAGACGAGGAGCAGTAAGTAACCCACTGACCCCTAGAAAGAAAAGTAACGTTCCCCACGTCCCACCCAACCCCCCACCCCCTAAGAAGCTATTTCTCTCTATTAATTCTCCTCACTGTCAAATCAAACACTGTCACCAGTTTTCTTTTGGTTTTAATACTGCAAGGAGAATTCTACGGTCTTTGATAGAAATGTTAGTCAGGTTAACCCTTTCACTGCCAAGATATTATTTAGTAATCCTCTTTACTGTCTGCAATATAAGTCTTAGGATGTTAGTTCTATGAACTGGGATTGGCTCAACTAATAATCCCTAAATTGATCTTTTTCTTTATTCTCATTACTTGTATGCTTGATATTTTACTGATATTATGACGAGAAATTCTGTCTTGGTCGCAAGTGAGAGTTAAGCCATCTCTCTGAATGGGAAGAGACCTGTATTGTATTGGCATTCATCCAAGGGGAGTAGCAACTCTTCTGGTTGCTTCGTTCCACAGAATTTGGGTTAAGCTCCGGTCAGATGGGGCACTGGGTTCGAGTGCTGGCTTAACCCTTTTTTTTCACCTTTGAAGCTAATTTGGTAGGTAAAACAGCAACAACAAGAAAGCCAGCATTTTCTCTTTTTTTTCCTTTTTTTTTTTGTGTTTTTTTTTTCTCTTCAGATTGAAACAGGTAACACCTGCTCTCGGACTATCTAA